TTATAGTTCTAATACAGTTTATATTCTTTGTTGAACTTGAACCAGCAACCTTGCGATTAGTGACCTAAGAGCGTAACTACTTTACTATTGACCCACAAATATTATATTTTAAGTTTATATTAAAGGTTTAATAAGTAATAGAGTAGTAATTAAAAGATGTAAAATGTTTTCATATTTTTTTAATAATAATTTCATTGTTGTAATATGAAAGTAATAAGAGTCTAGATTTAGTAAGTTTTTTGGATATATTAATAGTATGATAAGTATAGGGGTTGTGGCCTGATAATTGGTAATATAGTAGAATATTTTGGTAATAGAAGTGTGCTAAATTGTATCTTCTAAATAAGAAAACCAAAAGGGTTTTCTGCCTTTAGATAGGTATAACAATCTTGGTAAAAGATGTTTTTAGTCAAGTAAAATATTATTATCTGCTATACAGAGTTGTTTAAGATATATAATATTTGATTGCTAAGTTGCTTTTTAAAGGTTGAACATTTTAGATGCTGTGATAGAATAGATTCTAGTGATTGGCCACTATTACTAATTGTGTGGGGTCAGGTTAAATTGGAATTAACTGAAATAGTTAATCTAAAATAAGAAAAAAGTTGAGTAATTTTAAAATTTAATAAATATCAGTTAGAACTATCTATAGTAAGTTTAGAATAATGTAATATGCTAGTAGGAGACTATAAGTTGTTTTGTAACTATTAAAGTTTAATTTAAGTTATAATATCAAGAAGATTAAGATTGTTAATTCATTGAAAATAGTTAAAGATATGATGCTGAAGTTAGATATTTTAGATATTATATATATTGTATAAAAATGAATTAAGCATTGTACTGTTTGGTATAGATCTAAAAAGATAAAATTTGTGTTTAGCTATAATAAGGTATTTGGATAGAATTTGGTTGCATATGGTATAAGAAAAAATTATGAAGTCTGTATTTTAAAGTTAGAATAATAATTGTATTAATAATATAAGCAATTTGTTTGTTAGTAATTTTCTTTGTATTAGCTATATTAATGAGACTAAAGGCCTTTTTTTTTATCAGTTTAATGATTTGAGAGTATTTGTTGTTAAATGTAAATCAATATACAAGAAACTTAAATGGTTAGTTTTTAGGAATAGAGTAAATTAGTGATCCAAAGAACCACAAGGAGGTGATAGAAGAATTTGTAACTAGAATTAACTTAGTTGAATTAATTTGAATATTGGCTATATGCTAAAAGAAAGTAGCAATTTTGGTTATTAAGTTGAGTTTATCTTTGAATTTTGCAATCCAAAAAGTATTATTCATATAGGCTAAAATTAATAGATATTTTTAAATATTAAGTTTAAGGTAAATATAAGTTGGTTTTTCAGAATGTGAACAAAATGTATCCTAAAAATTGTAATGCTATTCTATTAATTAAAGAGTTATAGTAAATTCTTTAAAATAAGAGAGTTATAGTTTTTTCTTGATTTATATTATTTTTAATTGAATAAAGATTAATAAGTCCAAGATTGGATATAAAATAGTTTTGGTGATCAGTAAGGAGATTTATAAGTATATTAATAAGAAGTTGAAGCATTGATATATATTTGAGAGACTTAGTAAAAAGATCGAAGTTTACAGAATTATATGCTTTACTCATATTCTAAAACAAGAGTCAGAGTTGTTTGTTATTGCAACTAGCATTCTTAATAATATTATTAAGTATATGTATAGAGATAAAAGTACTGTTATTAGGTAAAGCAATATAGTCATAAGAAAATAAAATAGAATATTAAGTAAATATTAGATTAAAACAATTAGTAAGAAGTTTGATATATAGTTTTTTAATATATTTGACTAAGCTAATAAATTTTGTATTAGATAAGTTTTTATCAAAAATAGGTTTTTTAAATATTGGAAATATATAATTTTTTTTATTGTTTGAGTATATAGTTAGTTTGAATACATTAGTTAAAAAGACAGTTATTGTTTGAAGAAAGACAGAGCCAGTCTGTTTTAGTATTACATAGCTAATTTTAGAAGGACTACATGTTTTATTGTTAGAAAGCTAGTTAAGAGTTGTAAAAATTTTATTTATTAAAAATTTAGCTAAAGCTAAACTGTAATAGTCTAATTTAGTTGTTGCTTTGAGTTGGTATTTTTCTGATTAGTTAGAGTTAAATTCATAAGTATCAATAAGCCTATAAGCAGTTTAGTTGTTAAAATGTTGTTTAATTTGTTTTTTAATAAGTTTGAGATCTGTTATAATATCACTTGGTATTTTAATATTGTTGATTTTTACAGGATCTTTGTGACAGTTAAATATACTATTAATCATTGCTTTGGAATTAGTATAAAGTTTAAAACATCAATTAGTGATATTTTGTTTATTTGTTCTTAGATCTGCTTAATGTTTTCTATATTTCGATCATAATAAAGAGCTTGCTATTCAGTATTAGTATTAGTAATCCAGTTTGATATAAGTTCATAAAGATTAGGTATAAGATCTATATTAAGCTAATAAGTTGAATTAAGATATAAGATTAAAGGATTAAGATATATGGGTATTAATATTATATTAGCTAAAAAAAATTTTATTTGTCTAATAATACTGTTTAGTTTTTTAAGATTTTAATAAAATAAGATAGATTTAGCAGAAAATAAGTATTAGAAATTGTGAATAATAGATTTTTTGTTAGAAATACATTTAGTAGCTATATTAATAATACTATTTTAAATTTTGTACTATGTAGTTTTTAGTGATTCAGAAGTTTGGATTAAGACAGAAGTTTTGTTTGTATTAAGATTATTGGAAATTTGGTTAGCAAAGATTTCTTATTGCTTTTTGTTTATTGTTTTCACAGATCAAACAAATGAATAAAGGATAAATAATATATAAATAACAGAAAAAAAATCTGTCATTATTCTACCTTATATTTACCAAATAATAGCAGCATAATAGTAGCATAATAGCAGAATAACAGTAAAATAACAAAAGATTTGTTAATATAAGTAACATAATAGTAATATAATAGCAAAATAATAGAACAGTTTTATTATTTTACTTATAGTTGCAAGACTAAAAGTAAAAAAATAAAACTGTTTTATTATTTTGCTATTATGTTACTATTATATTACTTATATTAACAAACCTTCTGTTATTTTACTGTTATTCTGCTATTATGTTGCTGCTATGCTGTTATTATTTGGCAGATATAGGATAAAATAATAACAGATTTTTTTCTGTTATTTACCTATTATTTATCTTTTATTTATTCATTTAATCTGTAAATAGTTTTAACTAATATATTAATTATAACAGATCTTATTTTTGTAATTGGAATATCATCAAAATTAACTGATTTAGAATAAATTAATTTATTAAATAGTCTTGCTTAAACTATTAATCAATGATTATATTGATCATAACAAGAACTTTAAGCAAATAATTAATTATTGGTTATTTTTTTAACTATAGTATATAATATAATTATTTTACCAATGTTCATAAATATTCTTGTTGAAGAAAAATCTTATTAAAACCATTAGTCAATACATTATCAAAGCTTAATACCATTAGCAAGAACTTGTTTAATAAGCTTAAAAAAAATTATAAAATATATAATCCTGTTGAGAATCTCTATAAAGATGTAATAGATAAAACAAAATGCTTATATTTGCAATTTTGCTATAAAGAAAAATAATAAAACAGGGTATGGTGATCTAGTAAAGTAATCAGATTGTTAACTCTCTAAATGGTAGGTTGGATGTTTAAATTCTATTAACAACAAAAATTTAGATAATTATCTATATAATATTCATATTATGGCAACTGTTACTAATGATTGGGTTAGAATATCTGTAATAACAATCACATCAGTATAATTGACAGATTATAAGACATTCATGTAACTGTTATATGACATTGTCTTTTGGGACAAGGTCTGTAGTTATATAAAGAAATGCAAACTGGCAATCAGGCAGTACAAACACTAGATAAGTTCTTGTGATTATATAAATTCATTGAAATTAAGTAACAAGAAGTTTATTTAAAAAGATCTGACTAAAAAGATAATTGGATCTTTGACAACCCTAAGTAAAGACTAGTTTAGTAAAACAGATACCAAGGTTGTAGTATTCAGTTATAATAGCCAGATAGACAAGAACCTCTAAGTTAGGAGTTTCAAAAGTACTACCAACTAGGCTATTAGAATAAACCAGAGAAAAAAGATATTAGACTAATCTGATATACCAATAGACTGGTTGTAGTCCTACATAAACTATTTGAATTGGAAGTTTGGTAAAAAGGTAGATAAAAAAACAGAGATATACTAAAATATCAAGGTTATGTTATGAAGTAGATGCTAAGGTCTAAGTGAACTCTACAAGAGCATAATGATTTAATAGTTAAGCCTGATTATAAATGTTGATTCTACTATAGCAATAACTAAGTCAATTGTAAAAATGAGTATAAAAGGCTCTAAAAGATTTATCTTGTAAATAAAATAGTTCTAAAATTGAGATGATGATCTGAACATCAGATATGACTCAGTAAAGTTAACAGGTTTGTAGGTTCAAAGGATTTAAAGTAGAATACTCAAACAGAAGTGTTAGATACAACAATTGGTAAAAAACCTTTGAGTAGACTCCTTAAATAGATAATATAGAAAATTTACACATGTAGCAAATTGTATGCTCTTCCTGTAATGGTTTACTAAACCACATTTATCATTGTTAAATAAAGTCAAAAGACCTAAGAGGTCACCTTAACACAAAAAAAAAAAAATTGAAAATAATAAAACTTAAATTTTACTGAAGTAATAAACTTTCAAATTTGTAAAAATCTATTGTTCGATTTAATGTTAGAACAAAACTGATTATAAATGTGTGAAGTAAAAATTAGCTTTGAATTTTTTTTTAAAATTATAATAAATAATATAAACGTCCTATCAATCAATAAAAATGTTAACAAAAACAACTTTAATAAAAATAACTCATCTAATTTGATGGAATCAAGATCTGATTCAACTTTGAAAAAACTTGTAAATATGTTCAAGAAATTATCTTTTAGAAGCAAAGATAATATGTACTAAAAGAAATGTCATGGAATATTTTGCAACAAACCTCATGTACCCCAATGCTCAGATGAATAAAATCTGAGACAGAGGCTAATTCATCCAACTTTGATTCAGAATCCACAGATTCAGACTAGTATAATCTCAATCCAATAAACCCTTGAAAGAATTATGTCTATATTACAAAGAAAAAAATTGTATCCCCTATCAAAAACATCATAAAAATAAGCCTACCAACTGTGTTCGCACTCTAATGACTATAGAACAGATTAAAATACATTCATTAAGACAAAAAAGTTTATGATCAAATTATCACAAAGAAGAACTCAAACTCAAGTTGTTAAGAAACAAATTAAGAAACAACTGTTAAAACTAATGTAATGAAAAATTTTAAGCAAGTAATGATTTATCCAATCAGAATAATCACGCTATGATATATAATAAAATATATTTAATTTATTTCGCTCTGTTACGTTATAATGGGTCTCAGGGGAATGATGTCATGTGTTTTAAATCCTTGAATCAGAGATCAGTATTTAATTTAAAGTAATATATAGTTTCGCATTGGGCCTAAAATCCAGAGGTATTATTAGAAAGCAGAAATTTTCAGTGATGTAAAGACTAATCGTACATACCCATCACTAATGCCTCCAGATATACGATAATATAAATTTTCAGGGTTAATATTTTCTCCAGGATATTTTCTATTTGCTTTCCCATGTAATCCGTTGTAAAAACTTTCTTTCGGTAAATCATCAAGTATGTGGATGGCAACTGAATTTTTTCCTCGCATCATTCCAATTTTGACCTATTTTCAATTAAACGTGTCAGAATTTTCAACCTCTTGAATAATACACACCCAACAATACTTACTTTCCATGTAATTACAAGATAATGAAAATCCGAATCATCTTTCACTTTATATAATATCATTCCTTTTGAAAAAAAATTGCCTGAAAAGTCTCTGTTTTATGATTAAAGTTATGTTAATCGTATATCAATCATAATGAAAAAACGCATAATCTTACGTTTTAAGGGTTTGGGAAGGTTTAATTTCAACTAGTGGGGTCCCATTCTTGCTTCCAGTGAAAAATTGAGGTTCACAAAGTTCATATTTGGTGTGGTCATTGGTAAACTTGATATCTAAACTTACGTTTATTCCTTGAATAATTTTTTGAAACACTTGATAAAATACATTATAAGAAAATTCAGAAAGTATAAGAGCCATTTCGGTATTAAAAAAACGTAGCCAAAAGACAAATCTTTTTACCTTTATAAATTACATTCATCAATTACCATCTTCGGAGTTTTTTTTTTCTTGCCTTTGTATACACGCCAAATTACCATATGAATACCCATTGATTCTATAAGAAAAAACCTTTCACAAAGGAAATGAATTTATTCTGTGATATATATTGCAGTCAGGGATTTTTCCCATATTCGGTATTTCTAAATATCGTAATGATCGGCATTGTACAACGATACAGAAATTTTCTAGAATTGATATACAGATCTAAACATGATTGGCCACAAATTCATATATAAGCATGAACGGGATAGAAAATACAGACATATTTAACCACGAAGGCTACTATCGTAAAGGCTTTTTTTCAGATCCTTAACAATTAGTAGAATGTGAAGATCTTTTTCCCAGAGGAGTTATAATAAACACTTTTATGAAACACGAAACCAGAAGAATTTTATGGTCTCAATGCAAGTTTAGTAAGATAAAGCCACACAAATTTTAATATCTTGGTTTTCATATCATGAATTTTTGAACAGACCTGGCCGGCTGGCTGGCTTTTTTTAAAAAAAATTTTCATATAAAAGTTTTGTAAAAAATTTTTTAAAAATCCACCTGGTTATTAAAATATATTAAAAAAATTTTTTATAAGTTTTCAAAATTTGATCCGGCTGGGTTATGAAAACCAATTATGGCCTAAGTTTAAAAAATATATTTGTACATTTTACTTTGTCTTGCACCTTTTATTGTTGTAATTTTAAGAAAACAAGACTTTTTTTACAATAAATTTGAATAGTATTGAGTGATCTAAAAACAACATCCATCTTGATGGTTTTATTCAGTCTTTTGTTTGCTTTAAAATTTGAATACATTTATTAAAATAAGGTTTATTACAATATCAAATATTAAGTAAAACAACTGTATTAGTGTGAGGTTATAAAAAAAAAGCTTTTAGTAATATTTAATATTTTTAGAACCATATTACAAGCTAGTACTGTCAAATAATTAAAATTACTAATAATGAAGATAATTTTTTAAATTTATTAATGACAATAATTATTAATATAATTTTATTTATTTTAATTTTAGTCTTCTAGCATTATCTCATTTTTCAAGTTCTTGATCATTATGCCGGTCTTTAATATTTTGCAAAATCTCTTGCAATTGGTCATGAGTTTTTTGCTACAAATCACAATATATTAAGTGATCAAAAGTATTAATAGAATTTAATAATGAATTAATAATTGTTAAAAGTTCTGTTTTCATTATATTTTCTTCACTTTTTGCTGCTACTTCTTCTTAAGCAATAATAGGTATTGGCTAAGATAAGGAAGTTTACTTATTTGTAAACATTCCATTAATAAATCTTATTCATCTTTTACATATTAAATTACTAAAATTTTTTAGCTGCTCATTAAGTTGATACTTATCTTCAAGACTTTTGAATATATGCTTATCATCTTAAAAATTTAAAAACTTAATTTTTCACAGTTAAACATGAAATCATTATGATTTTAAGAAATAATCTAGGCATGTTTAACTTCTTTATAATTCATTATTAATATGTTTAATCATATTAAATAAGCATAATATAACTAATTATTATTTAAAATATATGTAAGTATAAATATTTATATTTTTTTTAATATATAAATAGAACATATTATATTTACTTTTATAAACTTCATATAATTATATACTGTTATTTTTCAATGTTTTTATAAAGATATAGATGGAATTAAGGTTTTTAAAGATTTATTAATTTCTTCAAGAATAGCATCAAGGCCTTAATATTGATTGTGATAATCTGACTGTAAAATCATCAAATATGTTTTTATATACTATCTAATCTTAGAATTTAATCACTTTAATTGTTTTTCATAAGTTATCTCAATTAAACAGTATATAAGATGTCTATAGCCAGAATATATAAATACAAAAATATGTTAAGCAGCATTCATTAATAATAGTCAGTTGTTTCTAACTCTGATATAAAAATTAATAATCACTTGAAGGTAGATAAATGTCTATAATAATTGATTAGTTAAAAATTTTAAATAGATTTAATAATTTATTAAAGATCTTATTTGTTTAAATTTTAGTTTATATACAAAATCATTTTGTTTTTTGTCCAATTCAGATAACTAAAAACTAAAAGATTTTCAGTTGCAACTACATATAGCTATAATAGTTCACATGTAATAGAATGTCACTAGATATTACAAATAGAATTTTATAATTTGTGATAGTCTAAGTATTTTTTAAAAAATATAAGTTGTTTTTTAATTCTGTATCTTTGAAGAGTTGCAAAATGTTTAATGTTAATCACTTTTAAAATAAGTAATCAATATTAATTAAACTAGAATATAAAGTTTTTTATAAAGATATGATTAGTAATTATTTTTTACTATATAGACTATGCATAATACAGAAAAAAATTGTTTTAAATAGACATACAGATGTTACAAAAAAAATTGACAATTTGCAGACAATGTTCACAATTGCAAACAGTTACTCATAGTTTTTTTTTAGTCATTGTACAGAAAAAGTACAGTATTTATATAGTAAAAGTTAATTAAAAAATTAATACTAAATATGACTTATACAATATAACCTTGATATAGCAAACACTAATTGTATAACAAAGGTTATCCCAAATTTTTATATTTAAAATAGTCTTAATATAATAAATCTATAAGAAATTTAGATATAATAAAGGAAAACCTTTAGCTTTAGAGCTTCATTATATTGAGATTATACTGTATAATTTTATTAAGAAATCAAATAATAATAATAATAATAATATCAATTTAATTTAACAAATATCTTGAACATATTTATTTCTTTATATAAGACTCTAGAAATTAGTATAAGTTACAAAAAGTTTTTCTTAATCTTTTAAACTAGATTATAAGGAATGCAGTTACAAGTAACAAGTAACTATTTTTAAGCTTCTTAATTTATTTCTGCAATATTTTGTATATATTCAAGAATTTTTTAATATTACTTACTGAATTAGAATTTAATGCTAATAGATCAAGCATGTATATATCTGAAACAATAATATTATATTCAGGTTCTGATTGTTGCATATACTAATATGTTTGAAATAAGAACTTTTTTTTTATAATCATATATATAATACTTTATCATAAGATTCTTTGATAGAGGACTGTATTATTAAATTCTTTAGCTGATTCAGCATGCAAAATAGCTAATATATCTAATTTTTTATTACACTAAGGGCAAGTATATTTTTTATTATCAATATTAGTTGTATTGCAATATTTGCACTATTTAAATTGACTTTCAGCACTTTTTAATTTTTTATAATAAGTTTTATAGCATTTGTTTTTTCATTTTTTTTAGTAATAAGGTCTTTTAAGATCGATAATAAGTATATATTTAACTTTAATTTATATTCTGCTTTTATTTCTGATATAAGATAATATAATTCTTTATATTGTTTATTTGTTAGAGAATTATAAAACCAAGATGCAGTCATAAATTATACATGATCAATTTTATTTATATTTAATACAATAAAACTCATAATTGTATGATATATTACTGTATTATATTCATGGTTAAGATAATTATATTGACCTTATTGTTTATTATTGAAGGCCAAAAATAAAAGCCTCTTAGATAAAGATTCATTTTTGATTGCTAATAATTCTAGCCAATTAACAAATTTTGTATAACTTCTAGAACTAGTTATATGATTATTGATAATAACAATTGTTTTAGATTATGCTAATGAATATTTGATTTCAGAAATAACTAGATTTATTTCTAATATATAGTTTTTATATCTTAATCCATATTTCATATTAATACCAACTATTTTTTAAAATTTTTTTCATTTAATGTATTAATATTATCATTATTGTTATAAGCAAGAGTATTAATAAAATTAATGATAACTGGATTACAATTAGCTAACCAACTATTAGGTGCAAAATTTAGTAAACTATCAAAAAAAAATTGCTATTTATTTAAATTAATAACTTAATATTATTATAAACATTTTGATGTTTATAGTTTGCAATTTGAATTATTGAATTGATTCTTTTTTTTGAGTATTATAATAATTTTTCTATTTATGTTTTAATGCATCATTTTGCTCAGATAGCTTTTTATTTATTTTATTTACTACTTAAATATATTTCCAACTTTTTATTACATAGTCATATGCATATTCTAATTGTTTTTAAAAATTTTTTATCTTGTATTTAATTGTATTTGAAGTAGATAAATATAGTTTTTAATAATATACAACATAGCATTAAAATTTGTACACCAACATTATAGTTTTTTTTACTAACTTGCATGCCAATTTCACAAGTTTTAATTTCAATTTCATAAGCATGCTGTACATGTGTCTGTTTCTTAACTAATTCATTTTCAGTTTTAGGTTCATAACTTAATTGTCATTTTTTTTGTTTATTTTGCTTACTTTTAGACAAACTTGAATCTGAAAGAATTTGTCTAAAAAAATCAGATGCAATAAGTTGATTATAATGTTTTTTACATAAAAAAAAATTCTCTAAATATGTTTTAATTTAAACTAATTCAAAAAAAAATCATTATACAAGAGAAGACAACTTTGGGTTTTTTATTATCTGCATGCTGTATTATTTGTAATTCTTTAGTTTTACATCCTATTAACCTAGATTTTCATATAATTTAACCAAAGAGGCAATAACACAAGGCAGTTTTTCTGCTTATTATCATTAAACAGATTGTACTAATAAAGAAAAAAAATTATAGAATTAGAGATTCTTAATACAAGACTATAGAAAACTTTCATATAGTTAACTGTTTAAGTCTATTTAATCTTGCATTATTTATACAGTTTAAAGTACTTTTTAAAAAAAATAAAACTATGAAGAATAAACAAAAAGAAATATATAAAAAATAGAGTTGTGGAACTCCACTATTAAAAATAATCAAAATCATTTTTTGTTTTAGAGAAGTTAGCA